AAATTTTTGTATTCCAAAATAAATGTTATTTTTTACGAATTTAAACATATATAATAAAGTTATGTTACGAAAAACTATTTTCGAGAAATAATTACAAACTCCTCTGTACACACGCTATATGTGCTGAGTGGCTTGCACTTGGACACGGTACATTTGGACACCGTTTATTTGGACACGGTTCATTTGGACACTGTTCATTTGGACACGGTGCATTTGGACACCGTTCATTTGGACACGATCAATTGGACACGGCTCATCTGGACACCGTAAAAAATGCGGCCTGTGCAATTGGACGCCAAAATGTGCGATCTGTGCAGTTGGACACCAAAATGCGCAACCTGTACAAATGTTTTCAATATATATATTGTCACGTATTTTTACGCCCGGTATCACGCCCGAGACGTAAGACGGAACAAAAAGGGGTTAAGGAGAGAAGGATGGCAGGCCTCTCCAACGGGTCTCTCGCACTGTCCGACAATGATGCTCAAAATTAATGTTGGGCGCCAGACGCGTAAGCTCGCGTCCACTAATTTACGCAAAGATCGCGAAAACCCGAAAATAAGCACAAAAACGCAATTAATCCGGCGTGCGAGAGATCGGCCAGCTCGTCCTAACGGCTATGGGCGGGGTTGAGGAAGGGCAGCGCAAGATTCGGTAGGGTGACGCATAATCACGCACTCAGATAATTAATAAGAATCCATAACAAAGTTTATTGTAAATTGGCAACATTGTGAAATAGTAATCAGTAACAGTCTTGGTATAATTTTGAAATAAAGAATTATGGCATCGCGGAAGTCAGAAATTAAACTGAATAGATCAGACATTGAATTGTAGTAACAAGGTTGAATTAACAAAATTAAATAATGTGAGAGAATATTAATTTTTGGAAATCTAATTAAACACCGTAGCAGTGAGCGCAAAAATAACAAAGTAAACAGGACGTAATATTAAACATAAACTAGAATTACATATGTATAATAAAACAGGCGGCAGAAAATATGCTCGAATACAAAGTAACAGAAATAAGCGCGGAATAATAAAGTAAATAATTTGGATCGTAAACCCGAATTACATAGAATAGAATAAGAAACAGAAGATATGTTCGATTACGGAGCAACATCAAACATGGTAATATTGCCGCGCCACGCTCGGCGCGCAAGGACTCGACGTCCAAAACCGCGAAAGGAACTCTGTCGCCAAGGTATAAGGTGCTCGCGGAAGGCGCGCGACCCTAAATATAACGCGAACTATAATACGAACATCAATACGAAGGTGGAACGCTCGCAAGAACGCTCAGGACGACGCAAAAATATAATACGCTAGGACACGCAACATAACGCGGAATACCGCACGCGAGTACCGCACGCATCATGAATAAACGAAGACGTTGGACACGGAGTAGCGCGCGAGAAGAAACCGAATCTAACGCAACTAGTTCACGTAAAATTTATCACACGACAACACAAATTATGCCCTTTCGGCAACTAACATTAATGCACGCGCCGGCACTTGAGCGAGAGCGCGACCCGGAGGGCGGTGTCGTGGCTTTACATACGCGGAAATCTATGAGGCAACCTCACTGAAAATCTGCTCCCTCTCGTGCTGCGGGTCGCCGTCGCCACGGGCCTCTACGTCGTCGCCAAGATGATACGGCTCGATAGCCGGGCGCAATCGAAAGAAAGCGTACAACCAAACTTTGACCCGTTAACGCCGGAGGACAACCAGGAAGTGCTCGCGAAAATCCGCTCGATAGCGGAATCGATGACGCGCTCCACTCAGGGCGTGCGCGGCCCTTCGGCGCGATAGCGGGCTAATTAGGGGTAAGTTCGCAGGCTCGCGACCATGGTGGAAGGAAATAAGGTGAGGCAATGCGCATCATGAGTTTCACAGCCAATAGAGAACGCCGCACAGTTGTCGGCCATTACTAGCGGTCATTCAAACAAATAGAAATGGATAGGAAAATCTCTCAGTCATAGTTACCGAAAAATTATTAATTTTTCATAACGAATGGAAATAATATCACAAAAACGAGCTTCCATAAAGGAAACCATATTTTTCTATGGCATCAATTTTGGAGGAAACATATTTTTTTACCGATAAACAAGTCATTTTGGAAAAATTATAAATCAAACTTATGAAAAAAAGACTATCGACGAGTAATAAGCGTTCGTAATTGATGAATAAAATCGAAACTATGCTAGTCAACAAGTATTGCTAATGAATATAAATCATGTCACAAAAGATAGTTTCAGAAATGGTCAGTGGTGTAGCGGCAAGTATTCTGCTTTGTATATTTTTGACTCGGGTTTGAATCCTTACTGTACCTTTTTTTTATTGACCCAATTGCAATTAATGATAATGAATCAGGCTGATTGAAGGAAATTAATTAGAAAACGATTATTATCACTAACCGATTTACCTTTTTTTTTAATATTTTCAGAATTTATTTGGCTATGTCATTGACTAGAATCAGGATGTTTTATTGAAAATTGTGATTTATAGCAATAAAGTAGTTAAAAAAAGGATGAAATTTTATAACTGGCGGCGTTTCTTTTGGGCTTTCACTCAACGGTTCTCTCCACAACCAATTTTCAAAAATTTTTAATAATAAAAAATGTTGAATGTTATTATTGAAAGATGAATAAATATTTTTCCGAAATCCAATGCCAAAAATGTAGAATACCTTAAAAAAAAAAACTGAAAATTGGCCCTACAAAAGATGAATCCCCTCTTGATATTTTATTCTAAATCACCTGTTTATGGGAAAAATATATAAAAATTAGAAAACAATGAAAGTGGATAGGGACGTCATTCGAAGTTCTATGGAAAGAACATTAATTGCTAGTTAACAGTTTTATTACACATTTTTTTAATTTTTTTTTCTTTTCTACTTTTTTTAGCTGTTTTCTTAAACCGATTTTCTTCTCGAATTTGCATGTTCCATTTCCTGAGCTTGATGTACGTTTTCGTGCGCACCAAACACAAAAGTGCATCACGAGGAACGGAGTCATTTGTTTCCATTACAAGATCTGCCACTTTTTGAAAAATATGTTTTGTTTTTTGTTTTAGTTGATTTGCCCCGTGAAATTCTTCAAATACATTGTCCATGATGTTTGCTATCTTAATGAATTCTTCAGAGGGGTACATCAAACCCCCTCTCGATAACATCGTTATATATTCCGAGTTATCCAGCGATCCTAAATCTCTTGTTGGATTACCTAAAACGGAATACTTGTCTCTAAACCGATAGGCAACATATCCCGCGATGTATTTTAAGCCTTGATTGCAGATCCATTCCCGGTCATCAATTTTGTCGACATTTTCGACCTGTTCGACGAGATTCATTTCTTCTTCTGTTGGCTCATAGTCGTAGAAATGTGAAACTAGTGATAAAAAAAAATTCGTGTCAATTTCATTTAATTATGTACAATTAATTTTAAATCCAATGACAGATGCTATTAACGATATAAATAGAGTAATGATGATGCACTCTCTCTCTCTCTCTCTTTCTCTCTCTCTCTCTCTGTTTATGTAATCTTTTTGTCCCAGTAACATGCATAGTAGTACTTCTACCATAGAAATGTTATAGCAGGACATAAGTTTGTTCATTTTTGCTTTAATAGGCGTGTTGAGTTCGTCTTATCAACACTCTGCGTTGATTGGTTGGTTCTAAAAGTAAAAGTCAATCACGTTTGACTGAGCGGCTTGGTCTGCTGAACGCGCCTAATATTCACCTTCAAAATCATCGCCTGGTTCAATGGATTCTTTGAAACCTTCAGGAAGCTTCAGTAATTTACAATCGTCAGTTTCCATCGGATTGCTATCATCCACATACGTCATCTTACTCATCTCATTTTCCATTATTTCGCAGTCTTCTTTTTCTCCATCATCTTTTGGAGATTCTAACGAGCCCTTGTTTATCAGAAGTTTATCTTCATTTTGTTGTGAGGCAGAAATGAAGGATTTTTCTTCGACGGATTTTGTGCTTCCGTCTAACTTGAGTCGAGTGGATCTGGAACGGTGTTTGCTCGAACTGAAAAGAGAGCTGTGGAGTGTTTCCCAAGAACATACCACCGAAGTCTATTTTGTAAATCTATAGCATTGGGTTGATCATTATATCCTCCCATACCACGGAGGTAAGAGAACATATTCTCCAGCCCATCTTGATTTAGTCGGCAAGTCATGAGAAATTGGACTTTTTCTTGGCCATAGGTTGTTTTCAAATATGCAAATAAACTTGGCAACGAGCGACAGCACAGTGCGATGCCCTTCTCAAAAGGAAGCATAGATTTCTTCCCGAAAACAGTCATGTTAGTGATGAACTCTTCCATTTCTTGCAATACTTGACATTGAGATTCAAGTTGAACGCCGAATTCGTGAAGTTCTGGATTTTTTCCATACATCGTTCTACTGTTGAAAATGTCGAACCACTTATTGAATATTTCCAGCACACGAACTACTGGAGAGCAATTTTCAAAACCAGCAAGACCTTTTCCAGCGCAAGATTAAATAGCTTTTGCTGTGCTGTTGGAAAATACTTGTGCAGCCAGTTTCACATTTTGACGCTGAGGGCCTTTTATATCTAAATGATGTTGTGTCAACTTATGGGCTATTCTCAAATCTGTATTTGCTGTCGTTCTCAAAAGTAGATGCAAGAGATTCTTGGTTATGTGGATTCCATTATAAAGAAATCCATGATCCACAAAGTGATTTCGTGCCAATTTTATCATATGGGGGGCGTCAGAAAAAACGTAAATACGGTATTGATCGTTACTTGGGTGTTCAAAATAACAATGTTTATCTTTGCGTGTTCCAATATTCAATTTGTTCCATAGCTTTGCGTTTGTTGTTCCCAGATCTGATGCTGCAGCTACTACCATGAATCCACATTCAAAAAGCTGTTTGATCACTTGCTCCAGAGTTTCTTTGTCCATTGTTTTATCATAATCATAAAACACTGGCTGTTTCCATCGACCAAAAACTCCTCTAGCCATGATAAATTAACATGTTTTATGAGGCCCAATAACTTCTTCATCCTTCCTGTTAATTGCCACGTCATTGGAGATGTAAACCTCATCAAAAGTTAATACTGTCAATTTCTCTAATTCTGTTAAGCTTCCAGCTTTGTTTTTCATAATGGCTAGGACGTCATTTAAAATATCTGGCATAACATCAAACTTTCGGGCCCAATTTCTCAAGGTTGTCATAGCTGGTAGAGGGATTTTCATACTGTTCCTAACGAATCTATAAGCTTTGGGACTAATGCTTCGTAAAGATATGGCCGATGCAATATCTTCAGAACACCATGTTGTTTTTTTTAAATTTTCGTTGGAGAGTATTTTCAATTGTCCTGGTGTGAAAACACTTTGCAATATTCTTTGGTATTTCATTTTTTTACTCTCAGCTTTGGATATTCTTCTTTCTTGCACGCCAAGTTTCTTGTGCAAGCAATCTTTCTTTCCAAGCAATTTATCTATTTTCTCAATTATTTTGTCTTTTTCCTTGAGCTGTTTATCTGTCGTAATCACCTTTTGCATCAATCTTTCATTAGCCTCCCTCAATTGTTCATTCGTTTTCTTTAATTCTTCTACTTGCTGTAACAAAAGTATCAATTTTTGACTCTGCTCATTGAGGTTTTCTTGTTGAGACTCTTCTGGAGACCTAGAACTCTGAGTTTCTGAGTGAGTTAATACAATATTGGTGTCCCTTTCATCCTGAACTCTCCGATTTTCGTCGGAAATATCCAATGCCAAATATTCAGTTGGAACAGCATCTTTTTTCAAACGCGGTAGACGGCGAAAAGATTCAGGCAATTGCTGTTGTGCCCAAGATTGTTCCTTATAGGCACTTGGCAAAAAATGAAGGGAACATACTCTTCCTGTAAAATAATATATTTTTTTATTTTAAAATTATGTTAACAAAAAAAGCAAACGATAACTTCTAAATATAATTTTTTTTGGACTGTGATTCAACTGACCTGTTTTTGTATTAATGTTTTGGTTTTTACAATGTTTCATTCTTTGCAAATGTCTGTCTTTGGAAAGCTAAAAAAACTAATCTTTGTATGTGGTGCTTTGTTCCGTCCTTCAGTACCGCTCTGACACCCTATAATCAGACAGCGTGGCATTCTTTTCTGCAATCCTGAAATATCAAAAATGAAATTCTAATGTATGTCGTTAAACTAAAACCAAATCTATAATGTGCTCTTTGCTTCCTGTTTTCTGCTCTTAACCTCTTTGCGATTATCTCGTATTTCGCAATTCCGTCGCGTAACGCAATGTTTTTTGTTCTCTGTCGCCTAAGATAAAAATTGACGAACTTCAGAAGAGACAAGAAATATCACGTTACGCGACAGAATTGCGAAATACGAGATAATCGCAAAGAGGTTAAGAACAGAAAACAGAAAGCAAAGAGTACATTGTAATGCATCGTATAATATATTTATTAAAAAACAAGAAAAATTGAATATTGAATTACCCTTCAATATATCCACATTTATTATTCAATCACAATACAGTAACACTTTTTTCAAATATACGATGTAAACTGTAAACAACTTTTACCAAAGCGTGCTTGCCATGCGTGTTAGCGAAAAAAGATGGCCAAAACTGTGCGGATCCCCCACCATGTCTGGGCTGCGCAGAACAGAACAAAACTCGTCACGAGGATTGCCTCACCTTACTTCCTTCCACCATGCTCGCGACATATCCTTGCGCATTCTTACGGTTATTTATGCAAGCGAATAACTGTTCAGATTATTGGTTCAGTGCAACGCTGGAAAGTGATGACGAGGAGGACGAGTTAGCCGAGGCTTTTTTATTGGAATCCCATCTAAGGCTACGTGGCCCGTCGAAGAAAGCTGTGCGAATTGAAGGTTATGTGGAAAACACAGTCCCAAGATTTAATACAAAACAATTCCGTAAAAATTATCGTATGCTGCCTAGCACATTTGCACTGCTAGAAAATCATCTTGGACCTATTTTGGCATTGGATACTGGTAATAAACCTTGCATCCCTGTTTGTACGCAATTGCTTGCTTCGCTGTGGCTGCTAACAACACCAGATTCTTTCAGGTAATGTATTTATGTCGTAGGCAAATGATTTTTTTTTTAGGAAAAAGCTTCTGACTAGGCAAATGCTATCTGCCTGGAGTGTCTGGCCAAATAGCTTTTACCATTTGTTTTTGCTATTTACCTAATCAAATGCTATTTTCCTAGGCAGATGCTATTTGACTGAACCGCTGTTAGGCAAATGGTATTCCGCGAAGCATGCATTGGTGCACTTCAGTACTTATCTGTTTTGTAAGGTTATGTTACGGTCGTTCTGCGAAGTGTTTTCTTTAAATTCGTCAATTTTGAAGCCATATGTAAGTACTTATTTTTCTTTTTTTGTTATTTACTAACCCCTCCAGCAAACATAGTAAAGTTTTCTTATTTTGTAATTATCATGCAGGTATTTATTACATGAAATATCAAGGACTGGGAGAGAATAATAGACATTAGAATAATATTTAAGTCAAGAAATTGCATTTTATATCTCAAAACATATAAATTTCTGCAGCCACGATAAAAAAAACGGCTTAAAGGATAAGATAAACGTTGGTGCATTTCAGTATTTGTTTTGTAAGGTTATGTTACGGTCGTTCTGCGAGGTGTTCTCTTTAAATTCGTCAATTTTAAAGCCGTATGTAAGTACTTATTTTTCTTTTGTTGTTATTTACTAAGTACTTCCCTTCAGCAAACACAGTAAAAACATTCTTACTTTGTAATTATCATGCAGGTATTTATTACATGCATGAAATATCAAGGACTGAAAGAGAATAATAGACATTAGAATACTATTCAAGTAAAGAAATCGCATTTTATATCTTAAAACATATAAATTTCTGCAGCCACAATAAAAAAACGATTTAAGAGACAAGATAAACGTATTTTGTAAGTATATTAACTGCTAGTTATTATGTTTATGCTGTATTAATCCCATCTTAATCCCAAATCTAATAAAGTTTTTTTTATTTAAAGGCAACATGGTAGATAAAGAAGAATATTATTTGCAGCTAAATGAAAAATATGCCCAGAAAACAGTTAAAAAACTATGGGACTTACAAAAAATTAATGAAGTCATTGATATATTAAAATTTACCAAGAGAAAAAATGTCAGAACACTCGGAAGATGTCA